GTGTGTGTGTGTGTGTGTGTGTGTGTGTGTGTGTGTGTGTGTGTGTGTGTGTGTATGTGTGTATACAAATATATATGTGTATGTATATATATATGTGTATGTATATATATATATATATATATATATATATATATATATATATATATATATATATACATATATATATAAACGCGCGTGTGTGTGAGTGTGTGTGTGTGTGTGTGTTCATTTATTTTTTGTATATAAATACATACATACATATATGCAGTATGTGTGTGTGTGTATATGTGTATATGTATACGTACATATATATATATACATATATATAACGCATTTATCCAATTATGTACAAAGTCTGAAGTATCTGCAGCGTATATCTTAAAAGTCCTTGAAATATGAGTCAGTTGAAGTTGAGTGGCCACAGGTGCGTCGACTGAAATTTGACACTTTTGAGTTATTCTTCAACTCTTGTCTGGGTAATAACTTTCCTATGACTGACATGCGTTTATGATATTTGTAAAGGTGTAAATAGAGAATGAGTGATAATTGATATGTGAAATTCTAGTACTTAATAGTATACTGCATCCTCGCTTTCCAGTTTCTACCATCATGCAGCAGTAGATTAAGCATTGTCGATTTTAATATTAGAAAACACTGCTTTTGGTGATCCAAGACGGTAATCTATATTCATATTACTTTCTATTAATTATCCTCTCTTCGCTCCATTATCATGTTTCTTTGTATTTGTCCTTTCTTTATTTTTTTGATAGCTTGTGAGTATCCAGGTTCCCTCAACATAGTTATTACTAACTACAATATGCATGCATATATTATCCCATATATTATTGCATGACGGAATAATGTAGTCGCCCTTTTGACATGTGTCCATAAATTTCATGCCAGGATCAGGGGATCTGTGTATGTGTCCAACAAATATATATATATATATATATATATATATATATATATATATATATATATATATATATATATATATATATATGTATATATATATATATATATATATATATATATATATATATATATATATATATATATATGTATATATATATATATATATATATATATATATATATATATATATATATATATATATATATATATGTGTGTGTGTGTGTGTGTGTGTGTGTGTATATATATATATATATATATATATATATATATATATATATATATGTGTGTGTGTGTGTGTGTGTGTGTGTGTGTGTGTGTGTGTGTGTGTGTGTGTGTGTGTATATATATATATATATATATATATATATATATATATATATATATATATATATATATATTGCAGACTTGCATAAATCACAAGAGAAAATCGGTTTAGTTTTTTACTTGTATATGAATGGCTTCTAAGTGTAAGAATATTTTGAAAGATATATATTTTTCTAGGATAAATAAACACAATAGATATAATCACAGAAGGTATTCTTTATTGCCAAGTATACATAGAGCAGCTTAGTGGAATCTGACACGTTAAATAATACAGGTACTTCACAGAAATAGGTACAGTGGTGGTTGTTTGTACTGATATAATCAAATCAGTTTATTTAAGTACCTTGCTTGATATGTTACTGAAGGATATATCATAAACTATTTTTTCTTTCTTTCTTTCTTTCTTTTTCTTTTTTTTTTCTTTTTCTTTTTCTTTTCATTTTTTCCTTATTCTTGCTATCTTTCTTTCCTTCTTTTTTTCTTTTCTTTTTTCTTCTTTTCTTGTCTTTCTTTTTATGAATACATGAATATGTTTATATATAATATATATATATATATATATATATATATATATATATATATATATATATATATATATATATATAACATAATGAAAAATAGATATCAAAACACGATAAAGTGTAATATTGAATTATATTCTCATCAATAAGTCCCCTTAATAATTAAATGCAGTTATATATATGGTATACACATACATATATCTATATCTGTGTGTGTGTGTGTGTGTGTGTGTGTGTGTGTGTGTGTGTGTGTGTGTGTGTGTGTGTGTGTGTGTGTGTGTGTGTGTGTATGTGTGTGTGTGTGTGTGTGTGTGTGTGTGTGTGTGTGTGTGTGTGTGTGTGTGTGTGTGTGTGTGTGTGTATACATTTATGTATATGTACGCCCGTACACATACAGTGTGTACCAATTTTATTCATACGATATCTAAGCTTGTGAAATGCATGCCAAATGCAATACCATTTAACAAAACATCTGGCAGAATAAACATTAAAAATAAACTAGAGTGTGAAATGATTAATCTTTGGAAGGATAAATGCATGAGAAAATACATCTTACTATTATGCAACAAACAGAACTCATTAATCTATGGTTATAAGTGCAAGTGATGAAAAGATATATATCCTGAAGCGTATTTTCGAAACAAAATTATCTCATCAATCTCTGACAGAAAGATCCTCAGGTGCTTTTTCTAATCCAAGACTTTGCACTTCTTCCTGCGCCTGCTGACTGACCTTCAAGCCCCACCGCTGGAACGTAAGGA